ATCAATATGTACACATATATATAATTAAACTAGAAGGCAAACCTCTAAATCAAAGGATATTTTTGTGATCTCTTGGTTATAATGCATAAAAGGTGCGAGTACGTTTGCGCTTAAATGCGGTCCTTTAATAATAATGAAGGCTAATTAAAAAAAAAAGAAAAGAAAAGAAAAAGATGTTATCCAATATTACATAACGATAAATGATCATAAGCTCAATGCATGCAACATTACTGTTGTCATCAATATCAATTGGGTCGTCGATGATGTTTTGTTCATTCGCATAAAGGTACAGCTCGAAGGTGGTGAAACGAGGTTTAAAATGATATTCCATTGGTATGAAATGCAATTGATCGGGGGATGGCCCATCAGTCCAATCTTTGATTAAGTCCTGAAATAATGTGATGTGATCCCTGAGAAGAAATATCTTCGCGTCCGTTAGGTAAACGTCAAATTCCCACCTCCGGATTTTATTCCATTTTAAGGGAGCAGGTAAATCACACATTATCTGTAATCAATGATGATATAGTTAAATTATTCATAAACCACCATCCATTGGTAAAAAAATATTCAATTTAACCAAAGACCATGTGCATATCATAAAAGATCAATCCTCACCTTTACTTTTTTTGTGGTTAACACTTTCGAAAAATTAACACTGGTTTGCACCTCGATATTTTCCAGGTCAATTTCCAAGTTATTGGTGTATCCTTTTTCCGTGTAAATCATAGGAAGTGTTATGTTGACAGTTGAATCATTTGATTTATTTTGTTCATCCAATATCTTAAATTCCAACCATCCATATTGCCTGTTGTGTTCAGAAGCGTCATCATCATGATGGAATTTCCAGTCCTGTGCGTACGTTCACAAACAAGCAAGCATATATAAGCATATATATATATTTCGGTCATAATTGGAGGCAGAAGTTCAATCATAACAATAATAAAATGTGCAAAACCTTGGACGCCTCTCTTGAAGGAATTCTGAGGGTGGTTGTATTATTAAATTGAATAAAAATTTTCAACGAGGTATGCAACCTATCTTCTCCAGGCTTAAGAATTTTTGTTTGTTTCGAATCACGGTACAATGGTGGAAAAAAAGAAATTTTGAAGTGATACTCTTCCATTCGAAGATTTTAAAGAATTTGAAATGATATAAGATTAACTTGACCACGATAGAATTCAGGTATATTTGAATGCATGAGGTAATAAATTACCTTTGTCTATCCGCCCACGGTCCATAATCTACTTGTGCATTTGTGAATATGAGGTCTATCCCCCATTCGGGAGAAAGGTCACCATTTCCTATATCAATTTCTTCCGGATTTTTTGTCGAAATCGACTCTTTCGGTACTTTCCCTATATGACAGGATAGAGAACCATTTTGATTTGGTGTTAAAATTCCAACACAATCACGATCATTGCGTCATAATACCAGCAACATCTGCATAGTAATTCATATTCAACAGCGGGCAGGATAGTATTGTTGTAACCTTTGCGTATTCATTTATGACTCCTGCTTTTCCTTCCTCCTTGTCTGTGCATTTCCTGCAACCCCAATTTCAGTTCAGTTACAATATCATATTTCAATTGTTAAACGGAAGGAAGTGTTTGAGATTACCTTTGACTAGTTTTATCTTCGTTTTGTCGAACCACTGTGTCTCGGAATGCCTCCACATAATCCGGATTTGGTTTCAAATAGATTTTAGGCTCTCGAAATTCTAAATCTAAAACCAACTTGTAGTAATCAAACACAGATCTAGACTGCAAATTTGATATTCAGTAAAACTTGGCAATTTTTCTCGAGATTGACTGTCGCAAGGAACTTGAACTAACTTTCACTGCTGTATAAATTCCGCTAGCCTGACAAAATTCTGCTATTAAAACAGATGGCGTCGAGGCGCTACCACATATGACAGCACTTCGTTCAACCTCCAATTGGATTGGCAACAGTTTCCTAAAGAATGAATCCTTAGATTTGTTCGCCGCCGCATGATCACTTTCGTCAATATTAACTGAAAAAGAACGGACGCAAGAGATAAGCGTAACGAGAAACAAGTAAATGATTAATTAAAAAGAACCTTTGCTTACCAGCAATTTCGTCGGGCTCATTTAGTATAATACTAGAGGTGCTAAGTCGGTCCGAAGACATTTCAGTGTCGTTTACCCGAGATATGATGTTTTTGAGAGCATCATATGCAGGAGTACAGTTATACATAAACCACTCTGCTCCATCAAAGTGACATATTATCCGACACGGAAGGCCTTGATTATGATAAAATGGTAACACAGATGGGTTAACACGGATATATCGATATCTAACATTCGGATATTTTTTTACCTTCATTATTATCATCATTATTGTCTTGACTATTGCTCTCCTTTCGAACAGACCACAACCAGTATCGACAGGTTATATGGCCTTTCAGTATGAAAATCGATTGATTGACTGATCGATACCGTAAATTTCTGAATAAAACGCTTCCAGCAACTGGGGCAAACTGTATTGACTCTAAAGAAATTTCCAACATTGACATTTATCATTAAATTGAAAATCAAACATGCTATCGTTGTGAATTCCTCGCTTACCAATCTCAATATAAGCATTATATTTACGCCATGTATATGCCCGTATTATCCGTGATAAAATGAACGCAACCACGCGATTGAAATAGAATAAAAGCAATAACACAAATACTGCGACGCCCAAATAATAGCCCAAGAACATCCTATGAATAAAAATATATACATTAACCGTCCAACATCATCCTATAACTATTACTAAGCAGTGATGGTTACCAGTCTTGCGCTGTCGGTCCCATCCTTTGATATTTTATGCCAAGAATAGAAGTTCACCATAAATCGGTTAAGCAAATTGACTTTATAATGCAACTTCCATTTATGGAATTTCCAAACATTGTAGTGATCGTTACACGTGCGATTTAATTTGTTTTATAATATACGGTGTGTGACAAAATTCTTTGCACTAGTTGAGTAACAATATAAAAATTTTTTCATACCAAAAAAATAAAAAAAAAATAAAAATATTTAAATTAATTTTTCGTAATATAATAAATAAACTTATATATTGGTAAAAATATAAATTTCTCAAATAGTTATTAAAAGTCTTTTAAAAATAAAAAAACATCATCAAGAATTTTTTATTTTTTTATTTATCTTCTATAATATCTTTAGTTTAATAATTTATTATTTTAAATCTTTACAATCAACAATTTATAAAAAACAAGTTCAAAAATACTCAATCAAAGTATAAAAGGAATTAAATAATTATAAAATTAATAATTTTTACTAAACAAACTTCTTCTTTTGAAAAGAAAAAAACAAAAAAAAAAATAGATTACAATAAATTTTTGAAAACTTAATATCAATCTTATAAAACTTTCAATCAGGCTAATATAGATTAATATTTTTTTAGATATCAAGAGAAACTTCATAAGTAATAACTTAAATTAATAAATTAGTTCAAGTTTAAATATTTATATAACTTAAAGGAATATTTAAACTTTATTGAATATATAGTAATAAAATTCATATATTATAACAATAATATTTTAATAAATTAATATTAAATTAAAAAATTTTTTTTTGCTAATCCTCCTTTTTTGATAATTTTATTAGAAAAAAGTGAATCAATTTAAACACACACAAAAAAAATATAAATCCTTCAAATTAAATTATTAAGTACTTATAATATACACATATCAAATAAAAAAAAAAAAACTCTTTCCGCTGATCCTCTAACCACCCACAAAAAAGATGTTCGCAAGAAGTTTTTATACTTCTTTGCTAATAAAGTCTTAATACTTTCCTTAAAACA